AAAAAAAAAAAAAAAAAATCACACCTTGAAATGGACCTTATACCAGAGATTTATTGGGGTGGGGTGCAAAATGGCTTCTATCTAAGAGGCATGAAGACCGTGATGGGCCCGGCTGGGATGGTGGACTTCATGGAGACTATGGAGCACATGGAAAGTAAGGCAACCGTGGAAATGTAGCATTGGCTGCTAATTACAGTGATATGCCCTACAAAAAGAACTTGGAAATAAATGATTAAAGAGAAATCCAACCACAATTCAGAAGGGAAAGACTGAGAACCCCTCCTACCTTGAAACAAAAGCATTAGCTAGCTGTGAAAAACGTATCCCCAAAGGGAAGTCAACAATAAGAGGCCATTCCTGATATGGCTGAAGTGGCTGTTTCTGCCTGAGCAGAGTGAGCCAGAACTGTAAATCTCACTTGGGAAGTGTCCAGGACCAGGGCCATTTACTCCGTGGCTCTGCATTGGACAGAATCCCCACTCCCTTTCTGGGAGTTTGCATTCCTACATAGCATGTGAATGGAGGGGGTGCCTGTGACTAGGCAGCCCAGGGGTCTCCTGCCCTCAAAAGAATTGCCCGTGCCCCCAGTCCTGCTGGCTTCCTCTCTAATTGACCTATACTGTGGGGAGCAATTGGGAATAAATGGCTGCTTGCTGGGTAGCTGGGAGGAGGGGCTCATCGCTTCACTTTAGGTGTGTGGGGGGCATCCCAGAACTGAATGAAGCAATTGCCGCTCTGGAGACTTGCTCTCAGCTTTGCTCCCAGCCGTGTCAAAACAGGCTCTTAGTTTGGGGTTTGCAGAACCACCTCCACAGTCAACGGGTTCCCGGTGGAGCCAGCCTAGGCAAAGGGACATCACGGCAGAAGCCAGAAGCCACGGAAAGGATTGGGGGGAGGAAAGTCGGGGCCCCGGTACTATTGCCATGGAGGGATGGGGACAAGTAACTCCTAAAGATCTAATGTCTCCGTAGCACTGGGCAATCTGGGGCAAAAGTTGTCTCCATCTGCCTAGTGGGTACCATGGACTAAGCTTTGGGTTGGGACTGCTAATGGGAGGCTGGGGAGATGTCTCTGGGACAAAGTGCTCCAGCACAATCATCAGGACCTGGTTTTAACCCCCGATGCCCATGTGAAAGCCCAGTGTTGCCAGCACACAGCCATAACCCCAGGGCTAGAGAGGTGGAGACAGGGGCCAGCCAGCAAGCTCCAGGGTGATGACCTCCAGATTCACCAAAAGACCCTGTCTCAAACAGCTTAGGTGGAGCTGGGTGGGAGGCACACATTTAATCCCTGCTTCGGAGACAGATCTCAGTGTGTTCAAGGCCAGAGTGGTCTGTACAGCAAGTTCTAGGCCAACAAAAACTGCACAGTGAGGGCCTGTCTTATAAATAATAAATAAATAAGGGGGCTAGAGAGCTGGCTCGGGGGTGAAGAGAACTTACTTAGCTCTTGCAGGGGACCCAGTTTAAGAATCCAGCACCCCCATGGCAGCTCACAACTGTCTGTGACTCCAGTTCCAGGGGATCTGATGCCCTCCTCTGGCCTCCATGGGCTTCAGTATACATGTGATGCAAAGACATAGATGCAGGCAAAACACTCATACACATAGAATAAAAATGAACAAACCTTTAAAAAATAAATAAAATAGAGAGCAATAGGGGAAGTTACTTAATGTTATCTCTCTGGCCTTGACACACATGAACACATATGCACACACATACACACACCTATACAAACACAAGAAAACACAACACACACACACACACACACACACACACACACACAC